CGTCGGTCGGGGCGGACTCGTGCGTGGTGACCGGGGCGGACGTGCTGAGGGAGGAGGGGGTGCCGGGGACGGGCAAGTGGAGCTCGGTGTGGGTGACCGTGGCGTGGGGGTTCTTGTTCAGGGTCTTGTTCTACTTGGCTCTTTTGGTGGGCGGGGCGGACTCGTGCGTGGTGACCGGGGCGGACGTGCTGAGGGAGGAGGGGGTGCCGGGGACGGGCAAGTGGAGCTCGGTGTGGGTGACCGTGGCGTGGGGGTTCTTGTTCAGGGTCTTGTTCTACTTGGCTCTTTTGGTGGGGAGCAAGAACAAGAGGAGGTAATCAGAGGAGGAGGAGAGCATGTACGTAGCTGCTAATTAGAGGAGAAGTCAATCTCTCACTCTCTTTGCTGGTCTATTATGTTATGGTCTTGAGTACGTTGATGATATGCGATTAATTGTGGACGCGTGTGAAAAAGAGAGGTGATTAGGAAGATAATAGGCGCTTGTGAATGATGGCGGAAATGAATTTGGATCCTCTCCACTACAAAAAAAAAAATAGTGGAGAGACCACTACTTTTAATCTCAATCGTTGATTATTTAGTAGGTGGTTATGATGCAATCTAAATCTAACACTCATTCCTAATTTGCACTCGAAAAAAATTCACAATCACCAACTGGATAATCAATTATTGTGATTATGTAGTGGTCCCTCCACTACTTTTTAGATAGTTAAGGAGACCCGAATACGGTGGAAATAGAGTTGTTGGTGATAACTAAAAAAAATTCTTACGTTTTGTTTTGTGTTAAGGCATGTTTGGTTACACGGAATAGAAAAGAAAACCTTAGAAAGGATCGTCTCGTGGCGTCAGAACTCGTCAGGATGTGACAAAAAATAAGGGGAAAAAAAAACAACTCAAAGAGATTTCTAAATGAAAAATTTCTTAGCGACCCAAAAATATGGGACAGTTAAGGTGTCGGCTCTCTGTTCCATGATGTACCGTTTATGAACGTTGCATCATGGGACAAGGAGCCGACACCTCGTCTTTTCCATGTAGGTTCTCATGTTTTTGATCCTTGTAGCACCACCATTTCTAAATTTTGTGTTTGGTTCTCTCAAGTTAAAAAAATAACACTTTCCTAAGCCCACCTGCCACGTCAATTTTTAAGAAAAGCTCAATTTCAAACTTTCTGAGCGGAATCGGACTGAAAATAATGAAAAACGGGTGTTTTATTAATTAAAAATTAGAAGAGAGGCATTCCGGGATTTCTTGAGGAAGATACATTAATAATAAATGGTTTCGCCATTTTTTGAAGTTGTCTACTCCTCTTGTTGTTGTTGGTTTTTTTTTTTTTTTTTTTACATATTAGTGAAAATTGCTGGTAAAGGATTCCACCATCATTCTCACCGCTATTTCTTTCTAATCAAACTCAATATTAAAATTCCGAAGAATTGTTTGGAAAATGCAAAAAAAAAAAAAGTGTTTCCCGGCTCGGATCCCCGTCCTATAGCTTTAGGATATTTAATATAACAAGTTAGATGCCAACAATCTAAAACCCAGAAATGTTGGAAGAAAAAATTCATTTTTTGATAGAGGAAGAAAAAATTCATTACTTCAAGCTCATTCAGCTCCTCAAAATCTTGAATATCATTCCAATCCAATGATTTAAAGAGTAAGCGCGCACAGTCTGATCTTTCTCAAAGATTGCTCCACAAGCAATCATTTTCAAGCAATGATGACACGTGATGAGTACGTAGACAACACCAAAATCTTAGCCCAAGATATCATAATCATTTGCTCGAGAGATTCACTTTTATAAATTAAGATACCTATAACTTGACCTCATAGATGGCAGCAGACGCTAAGGGACTGTTTGTTTCGGCCAAAAAAAAAAATTGTTGGAAAACACCCCAAAAATATTTTATGGGCAACTCTGATGTTCGTTTCAAGCATATTTTTCAGAGGAGTGACTTTTCAAAACGTCAGCCCACGTCACATTTTGGGCAAAATCCATTTCCGCGTTATTGAATAAAATCAAATATTTCACTATAGATGGGTGATGTGGCTCTTCACGGGTTATTTCTGAAATGTTTCTTATTTATGTTTTTCTATTTCTTAGACACCCAATAAAACAATAAAATTATAGTCTTTTTTTTGGAATTAGGGTCGTTTCTGTTCCAACCAAACGAAAAAAAAAATCAATTCTAAGGAGTGACTGGAAAACATAAAAATGTGTTTTCCGCCACAAAACTTGGTTTTCCCATAATGGGATTATATAACAATTATTAGTTGATAGTATTGATAATTAAAATACATTCATGTCTCAGCCTTCTTGTGTGAACTATGATATCTTAGATGATGTATTTCCTTGCGTCTCCAAAGTTCAAACTTAATTGGAGGCTGGCTATTAACAGATGCAACAACAACAACAACAACAAAGAATTTGATCTCAGATTTTCGAATCGGCCACATGAACCATATTCTTCTATTCAGTCCTACAAAAGGTTAAATTCTCTGCCAAGTTAAATATTATCATATTCTTCTTAATCGATCATCACATTCTTTTCAATCTGTGTGTCAATCAAAGTTCTGCGTTAAAGATAAGCAGATCAGAAAACAATATTCAAGTCGGTCACAGATTAGCAGCTTTCATGAATGCTAACTTCACATGGGACCTTGCATGTGTGAGAGGGAGCCTACCAAACTGTTGGTAGAAAAAAATATTGACATGAGACTCCTCAAGCTCAGTCGACTGAAGTTCTCTCGCAGGTTATGATCACTCACCAGCGACATTAAGCTGCCACAACACAAGGAAGTGAAACCTTTGCAAAATACGAGTCTCCCTTCGATTTTACACCGTGAAAAGCTTCAGCAGTTTCAAGTCGATGTCATGAAATGAGCAGTTCATGCGTGTTCTCCAGTTCCTCATAGTCAGAAGCAATGTCCCAGGGTAGTAACCTAGATCATCAACAAACTAAGATCATAGGTAATGGCTACGATATATATGTCACATCAACAACACACCAAGCAGTCAACCATCGTCCCGAGGACAAACCAGCCCTCGAGGACACAACAGCCCTGTTAACAATCCAAAATTACCTGCATAGGGTTGTAACTTCTTGATATAACGACCTGTAGATTACGCGAAAAGAAGTGGCAAATGCCAAACTTATTGCTAATGTACACTGAAGTATAGGGCCAGTAGTAAGATTTCAGGAGACCAAGTCCAAAAGTATACACGTTATCATATATGAAGATTTCTGCTTGCATGGTCCCATGAACTGGACAAACCCAAATCTCGGATCTAGGCCATCATTTTGTTCAAACCCGATAAGCTAATGTATAAACTTTAAAACCTTCGTCTCTTTGGTCTAGCGTTATTGAAGCCAGAATCACGCCACTCCTGCTGCTCCCCATGATGCCTGTAGTTATCTTCCTGCTCCTCGACAATTCCTCTCAGTCTATTTGATGAATTCCCCAACCGGTTCCTAAACCTCACATCAAAATCCCTGGATGGGCCGCTATCTTCAGTAAAACCATCATTACCGTCAGTGTGCATCCTTAGAACCCTAGAAGGAGGAGCTTCACCGCGAAAGCGGAAGCTCTCACTCCCATCATTATCAACACAATGCTGCCTAAAAGAACGAATAGGTCCCCGCCTATCAATGCACCTTCTGTTGTCAACAAATCTATCGTCAAACTCTCGAAGATCAAAGTAATCTTCTTCTTCCGTAATTCCTCGAGGGTCTGCCATATTAAACCTCCTCGTGTTCCTTGGAAATTCTTCTCTCGGGGGACCAACATCTACGATGTCATAAGGAGGACCTCGTCTTCTAACTATTCTCTCTTCAGGAAAGCACCGGCGTTCTTGAGGTGATTGTCTCCTGCTAAGCCTCATAATCGGTGGAGATCTGTGCTGCATAAATTCTCGGGTTCTACTGAAGACATCTGAAGGCCTTCTCTGTTGAGATCCTGGTGATGATTGAGGACCTCCTCTTCTCAATGTAGGTGATAAGCTTCTCATTGTCGGCGATAAGCTTCTCCTCTCTCTACGTATGACAATCCCTTCAGCTCGTTCAAAATGAGACCGTGGGTTTGAGAGTGACACAAAATCTGGGACTTCTCTTCCAGTAGGACGACGAACCAATGGCATCGGTACTCGACCCTCAAATGATCGTCTTTGGCATTGTAAATGGGACAGGTCTTCCATTTCTTCACTCGTGAGCTTCCTCCTTAGTCGGCTAGATCCATCCAAAGATCCATCAATAGAAACTTCATCATTGTTTATCGGTCGAGAATATCTGATACCAGTTGAAGTATTCATTTGGTCCAATAGTTGGTCAACATTAGAATTTCTATCACCACACATAGCATTTAGCCTGTTAGCCCTATTCCTGATGTGCACATTACATTTCTCGAATGGCCGTCCATAGTTCCTCTCATGTCCAAGCCTTCGAGGCCTTTCATTGCTGGATTCATCTCTGAAATATCAGTGAAAAAGAACGAAACAAAACAGATTAAAACAATTGAAAGTATTTTACATAAAAACTGATGATATAAAGAGCATTACCCGTGTCCTCGAGAACGTGATCTTTCGACCCCGTATGATCTATCAACAGGCCTTTCTCTCTCTCCTTGAGAGGACATAGATCTGTCCAAAGTCGATTTCCTCTTTCCTGATGCCGAGCAATTGGAAGCAGGGTTCAGGTAGATAATCCGTCTATTGTTGCCTCTATCGTTAGCAACTTTTGTCACACTTCCCTTATCAGAGGGCTCAGCTTTGCCTGAAACATGATCTTTAGCAAGTTCGGGTCCTTCAGCATTCTGCTGCCCGCCAGCTGCATCAGATTGACTATCTGCTAGATTTGTGAGTGAACTAAGGTCACTAGATTTTATTTCTTTCTCAATACTCTCATCATTCTTCAGGTGATCCCCTAAAGTCTTGCCAGTTGTTTTGCTTAGGCTCTTGTCACAAAAGTCAGTGGTAGGCACTCCAACATCCGAGGAGCAAGATTCGATCTTGTCATCAAGAAGACCATTTTCACTCTCCTTAGAACCACAAACATTTTCCTCTTTAGGACTTTCTAATTTAATCTCCTTTTCAACTGAAGGTAATGGCATTGAAACAGGAACATCAACAGGACTAATAGAATCAGAAGCTTTCAAGGATTGCTCTTGGGCAAGATCACAAGAACCTTCAACAGTCTTCTTTAATGCTGGGTCCCTCACTTCACCATCCTCAAAATCCTCGTCACTTTTCCCACCCTGTTTAGGAGTTGTGTTCATCGATTCTTCTGAAACATGAAGGTTACCTGATTTGGATGTTTTGTCCCTATGTTCTTCTAGAACTTCAGATGACACTCCAACTTTATCTAGAACTTCATCAGACTCGATAATCTCACTAGTTACACATGGTTTTTTAAGAATATCTTCTGCCGAAGTATCATTGGACAAGTGATGCACATTTGAAGGATCCTTTTGGCTATCATTGGACAAGTGATGCATATTTGAAGGATCCTTTTGGCTAGCAAAACTGAATTCACCTTCTGCAGGGATATTTTCTCCAGTCTTGGAAGTATTAGAAGTTAAAGGATCAGATAGCAATGCCTCCGGGGATAAATTCATTTCATTTAATCTTGTCATCAAAGCTGATGATTCAATAGCAGTTATGCTTGTAACTTGGGTACTTGAAGTGAAAGTAGGAATACAATCTGCAGAACTTGGAGCTTGATTAACCTTGTTAGCTATACTGGAGGAATCATTGGAAAAGTTCGTACAAGGCCTCAGCAGAGTATTCAAAACAAGCGGCTTAGATGCCAAATTTAAGGCCTTGTTATTGTATTTCCCAGCATTTTGATGGACTAGTGTGTTTTCAGGTGAACTTTTTAGCCCCATATGTTCAGAATTCCTAGCATTTACTTGAGATTGATTTTCGGGTCGCTCTGTAGGTGGCTCTGGCTTTACAGATTTACTACATGCCAAGTTCAAGTTGCTAGAGATAGTTGTTTTCGAGATTTCTTCTCCACATGATTCGGACTTGACGGGTTTCAAATCTAAAGATTTCAGCAAACCCAACTGAACCATAGCTGTCTCCTTTTGATCTTTCTCAATTGGTTCTAATTTTATAGTTGTACCAATATCCAATGGTGGGCTGATAGTAGACATCATAGGCTTAGTAGCAAGGCTTAAAAATGACTTGTCTGTAATAGCTTCATGTTTTCCTAATGAAATGCAAGGATCAGGTAAAGAAGGCGGCTTAAGCTGCAACTCTAGGGAAGCCTCAGGATTTGAATCAACTTTATGTCGCACACTACTTCCTGATATTATATCAGTTCCATTGTGTTCCCTAAATAACATCTGTTTCCGACCTCGTTGCTGGATGCCTCCAAGAACTAGCCTGTCCTGATCACCAGTTTCATTATTCAGTAAAGAATCTGCAGAAGAATCTACCCATGTGTCCATCATCGTATTCAAATCCCAGTTTGATCTATTTAGATACAGAATACCAGAGTCTGCTTTAATTTTTGCATTCCTGGATTCACTTTCGACATTCTTCAGCTCCAATCCTTGTTTGAAAGAAATTCCTTCTCTGTGAGTAACCTTACCTTCAGCATTCCCCTGTCCTCTAGGCACCACAAAAGTCTGTTTTGCTGCAGAACTAATTACTGTGCTTCCAGTCACCGGCAATGTTGCACATTTGTTGCTAAAAACCATGTCTTGTGTATTAGCAGTTTCATCAACAGAATTAGCACCCAAGTACAACCCGGATCCTTGGTCATTACAATTAGGCAGCATTTCAAACTTCGGAATGATGTTTAAGTCTCTAGTATTTGACTTTTCACAAGGTCCAATCAAACCATCTTTCCCTGTTACAGAACCGACTTGGGCAGGATCACCTGTGGACTTCGAGATAGGAGACTCAGGCTTTAAGGACACAAAATCCTTTTCAGATATGCCACAATCTGTTGGCTTTGCCTTTTCACAAGGTTCAATCAAACCATCATTCCCTGTTACAGAATTGACTTGGGCAGGATCACATCTCGACTTCGAAATAGGAAGCTTTACGGACGCAAAATTCTTTTCAGATATACCACAACCTGTTGGCTTTGGTAATGACAACACACTAGGCTCACAAGCATGTTCACCTGTCTCAGCGTTCACTTTAGCAGTGGTACCTCCAATTTTTAAAAAAGGAGAACCAGACTTTGTGGCGTCAGGTTTGCTTTCAGGCAGAACACAGTCCGCTTGTGTTAGTGACAACTCACTAGGTTCACAAGAAGAAACTTCACCTTTCGTAGCACGTAATTGAACATTAACTTTCCCACTTTCTGGCAAACAAGAAACAGACTTCGAAGAATCAGCCTTCTTGTCAGATGTACTACAATCTGCTTGTGCTTCTTTGCTGAAAAAGTCCGCTCGATCACCTGTATTTAGAGTGGACACATGCTCGGAGGATTCAAGTTTATCATTGGGTGGGACACTGTTTGCAGGTGTTGGCGATGGTGGATCAGTTGCTTGGTCACAAGATTTACAAGCAGCAACTTTTCCTGTCACAGTATTGACCTGAACAGAATTACCTTCGGTTCTTGAATGAGGAAGCCCAAACCCTGGAGATTCTGGTTTATTATCAGGTATGCTGCAATCACCAAGAACTGGAGATGGTAACTCAGGTGGAGGAGATGGAGATCGACGGAAAAGAAAACGTCTTTTCTTGATCGGTACAGCTGCAAGGAAGTCAGTGGAGGACCGAGAATGGACTCGAAGCTCCTGAAGGGGACAAGAAACAAAGGAAAAGAATCCATAATCAGTTACAGCAATGAGAAAAGGATGTTTATTGGGATGTTCAGCTGTGATTCCCTGAAAGAATAGACATTTCTCAGTGAGCAAGAAACAAAGCACCTTTTCCTGATCGGTTAACGGCATTTTCAGGTTTCAACTGGAGAAGAGGAATTCCCTTATCCTCTAATTACTCAATTTATTGCCGCGGACTACTGCTTGCTTGCATATGAAGGACTTTTCAACCTGTCATCAGGCATACAAACGATCATAAAGACAACACTTAATTGTCACCAGATGTAAACTTGAAAAGCATAAAGAAATGAATCTACTATAAATAAAATTTGTACTTGTAGTTCTAAATACAGACAAATCGAAATTCATGAAATAAAGCTTATTCCTCGACCAACTTTAATCTTATTGAAATTAAACATGGTTAAAACTAGAAATATTCATTCAGACATATCAAAATCCCCATTCGATCAAAAGCAACTAAGCTAAAAGCATTAAAATAAACTAGCAAGGCATCAACTTCCGTTGACAACAAAACTCCCCATTGTTCCAACATGTTAAAAGAGCATAAAGTTATAACCCTAGACCCCCCAAAACAGCTTCGAAGTTTTCGCGTACTGTAAGGGATCTTCAACATGGTATTAGAGTAACACAGGCTCAAATATCACTGGACTAAGTTTTGAAGCGGACGTAAGCGACAAGATACAGCAGCGTGAGTCCAGAAATGGGATGCACTGGCTGAGTATAAAATTATAAACCTCTATGCTCACCACAAGATTCGAGTTTCAGTGCAGCAGAAGCAACCCTTAGCGCCCCACAAAAACAATCAATATCCAAAAAACAAAAAAAAACATGAGCCAAACTGATGACTAGGCAGAAGATGAAGAAGTTAGCCTACGAAAAAACCCAATCATATAACTATCAGTTCTATCTGAAGAGAGAGCTCGTGAGCACTCCTTGAAGGACTCTGTTTGCAGCGAACAAAGCAACCAACTTTGGCCCAACAATGGCTGATGGAGAGAGTAAACACCTAGCTACATAATGAGGAAGCTAGCTCATAAGTCTCCAACACTGCAGTAATCGCTAACTCACAAGTCCCCAATCTCAATCAAGAAGACAAAACAATTAATTCGGCAGTCTTCGCTAATCACACCTAAAGCCCTTGACATTCTCCTTCAATCGTAAACATCAATCATCAAGATCCTCAAAATCAAACAAACAAGTGAAAGCCCAACAATCAACTGATCCAATCAATGAAAAAAAATCCAACCATTTTCTCCTCCGGGTACATCCTCGCGCTAAAAATCACGAGAAAAAGCTCAAAGTTGAAATCTTTACTCCAAAAAAGGCAAATAACCACCAGATCTGGAACCCCATGAGCTTCCAAAACAATCAAACCCTTCATTTATCTGTTACTCACCTTGCCAAAAAAAAATCAAACAATCAAACCCGATCTGGCTCATTCCACCATTAATTCCGATCATCGGTGATCTCAGCAAAAAAAAAAAACCCTATTTCGTCCCAAATCGATAAAAAAAGCTATAAAAAAGCGAAAATAAAGGTCATAGATCACGCAAAGATTAGATTTTTGACCGATCTAGTTTCTTTTTCTTTACCTGATCACAAGAAAGTAGAGAGAGAGAGAGTATGAATGGGCTTTGATCGTGGAAAGCCCTAGAAAAAGGAGAGAGAGAGTTTGAGGCAAAGACGAGATTGAGGCCGCCCGCTGTCTACTTATGAATTATTTTATTAATTTATTATCTTCTAAGCTTCAGTTTTCTTTATATTTATCTCTCTACACCCCTCCACTTGCGCTTGTTTTTGTGGTGGCGCACATTTTTCCAAGTCTTTAATAAATGCGTTTTAAGTGATTTAGCGGACACGTGGGTACCGCCAAAACCGTGCTTAGAGAGATCTTGACCGTTGAGATTGAGATCGACGGTCGGTGATCGAATCGGTGGGTGGCTGTCGGTCGGGTCACAATCGAGGTTTCGTGAATGGCGACTTTTGGGCGGTTTTAATAAGGTAGCGTCGTTGACACGCTGAGATCCGAAATTTTTCGTCCACGCTGATCTCCTTTGATATCTGGTGGCTGTTCACCGATGTTCCTTCCATACACGCAAGGGAGCGTTTAGCAAACGTCTCGGTTTTTTTTTTTTTTTAACAAAAACAATAAAACACATTTGACAACCGGATGTTTTTTTAACTTGACCATTTATAAAATTTAAAAAATAAACATTTTTCTCAAAACACCAAAAATATGTTTTGAGATTCTGTTTTTTCATCTAAGCCGCCGCCGCCCGCCGCCGCCGCCAGCCCGCAATGGGAAAAAGCCTTTTGGCTATATTTACTACAGCTGTCAACATACTATACGAGTCAACTATTGGGTTGACATTATACGAAAGCAAAAGCCTACTTGCCTTCCGCCGTCGCTTTATAAATAAGAGTTTTGCTTCGGTGCTCCTATAATATTTGTATTTAATTTTTTAGTTAAAAGGGTAAAAAGGTATTTGTAACACTTTGGAAATCATCATACCTAACAGAACTCATATCCCGCAAAACCAATCCACTCATTTCATCTGCATCCCCTTTCCTTCCCGAATCAAATCCATACAAATAATTCTTCCTCTTCTAATTTTTCACTTTTTTTTTATTTCAATCAAGCAATGATTTCGCTACTTAGATTGATGGCTAAACAATAGTCAAGTCACACGAAGCGGTGATTTCATAGAGGAAGAACTTAGAATGAACGAAATCAAAAATAACAAAAATTCATATCAAAATCAATCAGCCTTTCCAATTAATCAATGATAGGAAGATCCACGTACTCTCAAAAAATCAATTGATTTTATGAAGGAAAAATAAAAAAGAAAAGAAAGTGATTATATCTTTGATTTAAAGGCGAAGATGATTTAAAAACAGAAAAAACAGATTATTAGACTATTGACATAGTGGTGAAAATAACGAGTAATTAAAGGTCAGCTAAATTGACAATGTCACTAAGGAAGAATTAAAGAGAAAAGGGGGTACTATTCTTACTGGCCATGATTTTTTTAGGCTTAAATGTTAGGCATCAATTTTCAAGATATTTACAAAAGTGATAGTAGAAAGAGTAATATTTTTCAGTCGACATTAGAATGATTGTGAGAGCGAAATGATTCGGAATTATTTACATTGATGCCTAATCATAAATTTTGTTTCTCTCCTAAATTGTATTTCCTAATCATTCTAATGTATTTTTCAGTCGACATTAGAATTATCTATTTTGGCCGTTGATGCGCTTGACGCCGCCGCGGCGGGCGAGGCGGCGGATGGCCGGCTTAGTGATGCCCTGGATGTTGTCGCGGAGCACCTTGCGGTGGCGCTTCGCCCCGCCCTTGCCGAGACCTTTCCCGCCCTTTCCTCGTCCTGACATCCTTCAATTGGAAAACCCTAAGTTGAGATTTGGGGATCTGAGAGCGTCGAGCGATGGGGTTGAGTGAGGGGAGGAGATGCGGAGGGGGCGTTTATATAGTAAGGGGGTGAATCCATGGGAGGGGGATCTGGAGGGGTTTCGGCCGTTGATGCTGGGAAGATTGGAAGGTTTGAGATGCGTTTGTTTCTGGCGGCCGCGGATTGATGAGGTGGCACGCAGGACTAAATTTGAACGCGCGCGTTCTTAGGAATTTGGTCTGGAGACACTCGTGGGCTTGGGCCCGGGCTTTGTCCGAATTAGTGTAATTCGGAGAGGCTTAGGGCCTGATTGGTTGTTTTTCGTTATGGGGGGTTATTGGTTGGGACAAATTGGGGCCAAGGGGGAAAAGTGTTCCAATGGAACAATTTTACCCGTTTGGGATATCTTAAGTGGGGTAAAGTGGGATAATAGGATAATTTCAGCATTTGATTTGACAATTCATGTGGGATAATTGATGATGTGACACATTATTAAAATATAATTTTATCTATTTAATTACTTCTAAATTAACTTATCCAATTGGTTTAGTATATTATTTAGTATATTATTATAATATAAATATTATTTTACTTTATATTAAAATATAATATATTATACTATACTTACAAATTACTATTATTAATTATTATATTGTATTATATTATATTATATTAGCATGCTATACTATATATAATAATTAATATAATATAATATCAATATATTTAATATAATATTTTAATATAATACATTATTTTATTTATACAAAAATATAATATGTTATACAATAATTACTAATTAACATTATATTAGTATGCTACATTATATAATAATTAATATAATATATGAATAATATATATAATATAATACTTTAATAATATATTATTTAATTTAATATATTATAATATAGTATCATAGGATATAATGTACTTTATAAAATATTATAATATTTTACTTTATTCAATGTAATATTTTAAAATTTTATATTAAAATTAAAATATAATATAACATATATATATTACATGATAATTACAATAATATATATTAAAAGGTATCATGTTATAGTAAATATTATATGATATTATAATAAATACGTTATACTATAATTACTAATTAATATTATATAATAATATATTACATAATATTATTAATATATGTTATTAAAATATTATATAATATTATAATAAATATGTTATACTATAATTACTATTATATAATATTATTAATATATGTTATATTTTATATATCAAATCATATATTTATAATATAATTAGCATGTATTAGTTAAGTAATACAAAAATATTTTAAAATTATCTCAATTGCCTTCAAAGTGGAACAACATTGTTCTAATATGGAGGATGAGTAAATTTGGGGTAATTATGAGGAAGGGGTGGAGGTGATCTTTATATAGTTGGTGTAATTTAGGGGAAAGTGGAGTATTTGTCCCCCAATTACCCCTACAAACTAATAACACCACAAAATTGACTCCAATTCGAATTACCCCAATGAATAACACCAAAAAGTGATGTTCCAAAAATTATCCCATTATCCCCCAAATTACACCAATGAATAACACCCCCTTAGGGTCTGTTTGTTTGCTCAAAAAAAAAAAAAAAATAGAAATGTGTTGCCACCTCACCTTTCAAGAAAACCCCCATGCGCCACATGGATTTTTGTTTTCAAAAGGTTTCCATTTCAAGCGTTTGTTTCGTCTTTAATTTTCAAGAAATGAAGTGGCACATGTGTTGCCACCTTAATTTTTCAAGAAATGTGTTTTCACACCAAATTTGCTGTGTGTTTTCACACCAACTTGGGCTGAAAACACTTAGAAATGTCTCATCTGAAAATTATTAATTAGTAAAAGCATTGTTTGAATAGTTCAGAAGAATAAAACGAAATATTTAGATGCCACGTTTCTCATTTCCTTTTTCTTGTTCTCAAACAAACACAAGGAATAGAAATCAAAGCACTGTTACTATGAAGGCTTTTTTTGTCTGTTTGTGTGACTTGGCAGTGAAAATGAACCTTTTCTTTACCTGTTTGGCTATTTCCAAAAAAAAGGGAAATGGAAATGTTACATTTCAAATGCTTTCATGACATTTCACGGTTTTCTTTTTTTTCGTTTGTTTCGCAAAGAAACTCCCCTTTTCACTGTCAAGTCACACAAAAAACAAAAAAAACCTCCATAGTAACAGTGTTGGACATTTACATTTCTTTTGTTTGTTTGAGAACAAGAAAAATGAAAAGAGAGAAAACCAATTTAAATAATATGTTTTATCATTTCTTTTGTTTGTTTGAGAACAAGAAAAATGAAAAGAGAGAAAACCAATTTAAATAATATGTTTTATTCTTCATAACCTCATAAACAGTGCTTTCCAATTTAAATAATATGTTTTATTCTTCATAACCTCATAAACAGTGCTTTTACTAATTAATAATTCTCACATGGGACATTTCTAAGTGTTTTCAGCCCATTTTGTTGTGCAAACACATTTCTTGAAAATGTGAGGTGACATCCTACGTGGCACTTCATTTCTTGAAAATTAAAAACGAAACAAACACTTGAAATGGAAACCTCTTGAAAACAAAAACCCATGTGGCACATGAGACATTTCTTGAAAGTTGAGGTGACAACACATTTCCCTTTTTTTTGAGCAAACAAACAGACCCTACGAAACAAACAAACAAAAATGAAAACTAAGAAATGTCTTGAATTCATTTCAAGAGCTACATTTCCATTTCCGATTTTTTTTGGAAATAGCCAAACAGGCCCTTAAAATCAAAGAAAATGAAGAAGATGTGGAAAACATCAAACAAATTTTCTTCCAATTTTCTCAATAAAAAACATGAAATGGATGTCTTAAAATGTGGGTCACATCAACCAATAAGAATTTGGCATATCATCATTTTTCTTGGTTCCAATATGTGAACCAAACAAAGAAAAAGAAAACGTTATGAAAAACTTACAACAAATTGTATTTTTTTCTCCATTTTCTTTCTTTTCCCTTCATTTTTCATAATTTTTGGGCAAACCAAACAGCCTCTTAGATGGTGTTTCTAAGGAGTAGTATTTCTATCAAAACCGGTTTAGCCCTTCGATAGGCAAAGTACGGGGGCGAAGTTGTGACTTTGCTTCCTAACTTGCCCATCAAAGGACTCAAAACCGGTCGCCGCATGTGACCGGCTCTGATAGGATGGGTAGTCGTTTCAAGAGCTTATCTGCATGTTTGATAAACATTCTATATAAGTTAGATTTTAAGGTCCGTATAAAAAAGTTGGGGTTTCCTAACTTTTGAAAAACTAGCTTATAAATACATCTACATACATTAGGTATAATCAAACGAATGACCATTCTATCCAAAAAAATTTCATGAAAATTTTATTAGAAAAGCCACAAAAAGCCAATTTAGCTTATAAGCTTCAAAAAATAATTTCTCCCAAACACTATCTAAAGGCACAGGGGATTGGTTTTCAACGCACAAATTATATATGCATGCAGGAGACAATTTACAAAGGGAGTTGTTGGCCTTTATCTTTCAAATCTATCCTCTGCCTGCATATATGTATATCTTCGAATTAGGGGTCGGTTTGATATTGCTATGTTTTGGGTGCTTCTGCTTATTTTTTTTTTTTTTTGAAACACGGTTAATAATGGTGTTTAGTGAATTTTTTAAAACACGTCTATTGAATTTTCTTTTGCTTTTAAGGGGATGCTTGTAGACGCAACCTCAGGATGTTTTTAAAAGCAACTTTTCCTTTTTTCAGTTTATATGCCAATATGCCAGTTATCTTTTGACAATGAACTTTGAAAACAATTTTGCTAAACACCTGAATTGCTTTTTGGAAGCAGATTTTTATATATTATTACCAAACGACTATTTTTAACAACTTATATAAATTGTTTTTATAAGATACTTATATAAACAACTTATTATAAGCTTTAGCAACATCAGACTAGCACATAGCTAGATGAATTTTAAGGGTTTAAAACTCTAGTACTGGAGAATATATGTAAAAATAGCCACTGTGGTGATTTATGGTTAACTCTAAGAATATGATAGCTTTGGGGGGACATATGCAACAAAACTTATATGAAACTTTTAGAGTGAGGCTAAATTTTAGAAAACCCCTCCTTGACTTCAGAGGATTATCAGATAACCCCCAATAACTTTCAATATCATAAAAAACCTCTTTATGCTTAGGGATTATTAAAATTAAAAAGTTCTCAACCATCAATGTTTTTCGCTAAAAAGAAAAGGCTAAGAGTGTGAACCACAATTTTCACCGTTAAAAATGCCCCTCCTATAATTTTAGCCACACGTGTGAAAATTGAACTTAATATTGCTAGGGGGTTTTTATGAAAGCAAATCTCAAAGTTGATGGGGGGTTGTCAATAACCCCGGAATTTAAGAGGGGTTTTTGATGTTCCGAAAGATACGGGGGGTTATCTGATGATCGCCAAAAGTTAAGGGGAGTTTTCTGAAATTTAGCCTTAGGATAATTTAACATCCTTTACATGAGTAACTGTATTGATTGGACCGAATGCGGACCGGACCATTACCCTGGACTTCAAGTTCGGAAAGAATCTAATCACACTGATTTTGATTTGCATTAAGGAGAAGCTTTTGATACTTTTAGTCGCATTTGGTCTATTTATACAAGTACAATTATAAAAAGAGGAAATCAAGCTATTGAAGTTTTTGACCAATCGTTGGATCAAAACGCATCAAGCTCATCAATGTCATCAGAATCATCGAAGAGCCTTAAAAACCGCGCCTGATCCTGTTGCCTCTTCCTCCTCTTCCAGTATCTACACAAGGCCACAGCTCCAGCAGCAACCGCAGCTAAAACCAACGTACCGATGATTACAGCAAGAAAAACGTCCAGTTTCTTCTCTCCACTCCCGAAGATATTGGATCCTGTGAACACCAAAACTTTGTCAGCAGCATTACCTCCATGAAGCTGCACTGAAGGTGTTATGAAGCATTGCGGATGACAGATCAATACGAAACCGTTGAAGGTTTGAGGAGGGAATTGTGATCTAAATAACCCAACAATAAAACCTGAAATGTCATCAAATGTGAAATTTATGAAGTTACACTTACCGAAAGTAGGCGGGTCGCACGCAGGGCATAAGAATGTGGCATTGAACTCATTCTCCTTGAGGTGCACATATTTTCCATCGATGAAATCATCGCGACAAAGCTCCCATTCGTCAAATATCTCGTCAGTTTTAATCTTGTACAGCTCATACAGACCGCAGCGCTTGCATTTCTTATCTGGCAGCTCGGTGAGAGGCTGCAAATAAGATAATATTGAACCATCAGTTTCCAAATATTTTCAAAACCAAGTAAATGTGTCAATAAATAAATAATTAAGCTCATTAAGTTCACGTATAAGAATTGCATCTGGAAGGGAACAGTGAACATGCGAAGAGGAAGTTTGGTGTATGTATATACAGGCTTTAGTGAACTTAAGCTTTGATTCATTAGGTCATTAATATATTTCATGAAGATATTTAAAGGTTAGAATAAGCAATATGCACTCTAAATTTCTGATTTGAATCCTGAGGACCAGATAGCTGAAAGAGCATGGAAAAATAGTTTACGAGAAAATTATTGAAAGTAGTAGGCTTCTAATTGGTAATCTCTGGAAGCATAATTTCACTTTATTGTTGAGAGCATTAGCAAAAAAATTTAAAAAAAAAACACTTTGTATATGCATATGACTATGGCCAAATAATACAGTTATCTATATAACGGTGTATATCGCATCTTTGATTGCTGATTTATGATAAATTGGTTACTGGTTGTGAAAGTAAATAAGTTACACTATTAATTTTAACCTCTTTTATTTTTTTTTCAACACATTCTTCCGTTTCAAATTCAATGAAAAAAGAAATTGATCATTGATGACAATGGTAATGTTTATAGGAGAAATCAACATAATGTCAAACCTCTGTCATTCTTATCACTGATGCAAT